TGGAATATCTCAGAATTGACAAGAAGGAATTCGTTTTATCTAAAATTTTTGTGGAATGCATTTTTAATAGATACAACATTCAACATTCTTAGTAGATCTAATCTAATAGGCGAAGATATAGTGGAAAAATCATTCGGAATCCACATTGGTCATTTTATTGATAGCAAAAAAAATATACCCATGAATTTTAATACCTCGTCTACAGTCGCATAACTGATGTTGCCTGCTTGTTTACAGGTCTTTTTTGTCCTAAGGAAGAAACAAAATCAGGTGACATTTCTTCACGTCTACCATCACACGATAACAGCATTCTTTTCGTGGTGTTATTTAAAACTTCTTCCTGGCGAGCAAGGACTTCTCATTGGTTTTCTCAATGCCTCTGTCCATATTGTCATGTACAGTTATTACTTGATCGCTGCTCTGGGTCCGCAATACAGAAAGTACCTGTGGTGGAAGAAATACATGACTTGGATCCAACTGGTAATTAAATTCAAATAATTTAGAAAGTTTTATAAATACCAATATTATGGCTGGGGATTATCTATACTTCATTTGTATTTCTTGAGTGTCATGTGAAAGTCATCAAGAATGTTACTTTGTTGAAATTCCCTATCAGAGATTGACCGTCTGATAGAGAATTCCAACAAAATACGTCAAGTTTAATATGTTTCGAAAAATTTCTCGTATGACAGGTCATACGAGATAATTAGGGCTTTCAAGGTTGAATATTCTCGTCAAATGTTTGGTATATTTATTTATTTATTTATTTATTCATCCTATACAAGAAACTATACTGAGATAACGAATCAGAAAGAGTTCTGCCGAAAATATATCCATTCTGCCAAAAAATGTCGCGATATTTCCGCCTGATGATTTGACTTTCTGAAGACACTATACTTTTAGGCAAATGAATAAATAATTGATTTCTTCAAAAAAATTTAATCTCGGGTAGAGAACATTAACGATTCTAGGATAATACTTCAAATACTCGATTCCGTTTAAGAAAAAAAAAAGATTCAGAAGAATCGTTAAGATATTCTGTTATTAAATATTTAATCGTCTGAAATTAATTCGTTTATGGTCTGAAAACTTGACTCAATCTCTTGCTCATACTAATTGGCGAAAAGCAAATTGATTGTATTGTTAATAATGAGGTAGGTGTCAATAGAGATTTTGATTTTCAGTCAATTATTCAAATTCTTTTACTTTAGTTCAAAAGTTGTGTATTCATATATTATTGCTAAACTTTTGAATGAAAATAATTAGACTTCCCCGTGGGGAAATTTTTATCTGAAAGAGAATGTTTTTCAAGTCCAAAAAATTTTGTCCACTTTGTCCAAAAATTTTGTCTTTTTAGAAAGCGAAATTTTTTTTTTCGGTGTCATAAACAAACACCCAAAAAATAACGACAAAGGCAGAATGGGCTTCGGTTTTCATCAGTTCTCTCTACTGACGATTAAGAAAATACGAAATCGAATTGATGAATGTAAAAATGAAAACAGATGTGAGGCCGTTGCCAGGTTATATGGCGGACTATTTTTCTTCTTCAAACTCGAAAAAAAATTATTTGTAATTTGGGCATTCTACTATTCGAAAATTCTTCAAGACGTTTTACTGATCTCCAACTTTCTCTCTAGGTTCAATTTTGTCTGATGCTGGTCTACCTCATGTGGATTCTCGCGATGGATTGCCCACTGCCAAAGGCTCTCACCTACTTCTTTGTGACAAATGTCATCATTTTCCTCTATCTTTTCAGTGATTTCTATCGAAAAGCGTACAAGAAGGAGAAAATTATGAAAAAGCAGACATGAGTAACAGCAATAAAATCCAATGAACTGTGAGATAAAAGAAACATGTGTTGATATTCTGTTGTGGGCTGAAATTTCAGAGATTAGTTCATCGTTAAGAACATATTGAAGATGAACCATTCCTAGTTCAAAGTTAAAGAAACAAAAGTGATGCATGTCAGTGGTGTAGTTTTCAGACAATGTTGATTATTATGAAAAATATTTGGTTACTGGACACAGGGAATTCATATATTCCTTTTATGGAGATTCCAAATGAAAACCCACCAGCAAAAGACATACACATTGTTTGTTATTTATTATTACTATACGTGTTACCAAATATATTTGCTCACATGTTTGCATTAAATGGATGAATGCGTAAAATTAAACGATATAAGGAAGAACTTTTTATATTTTATTAAAGGATATAATTAAGGTCATGATATTGTACAAAATAATTTCATAACATTATATGAAGAAATATTCAT